TTGCTTTGCTTGTGTGTGCAGCTTTTGCTTTCTCTATTAAACTGTCTTTATCTCAACCCATGAGTTTTTGTAGCTTTTACCCTTCTGATTCGCTCTCCCATCCTGTTGGTGGGGGAGTGTGTGAGTGGCTGTGTGGTTCTTGGCTGCTGCTGGGGTTAAACCACAACAGAGATGTGTAGTGTTGCAGTTTGATGTCCCCCCACCAAGCCTGGCTGAAGCAGAAGTGGCAAGTGTGGGAGAAACCTGAGGCTGATCCTGATCTGTGCTGGGCCTCACTGCTGCTCTTGCTCGCCAGGGCAGTTAGGAAGTTTTGAAGAATGAGGAGCTGGACAAAGGCCACAAAACTGGAAGGTCATCCTTCAATCAGGGGAAGAGAGGGGATGCACTTCGCTTTATGGAAAACACCACACTGGGGGAAGCAGATGAACTTGAGGTCATTTACAGGGACATGGACAAATGCAAGATCTTACAGCCAAGAAGTCTTGGAAGGAGCCAAGGAGCTCTGTACTGGTCCCTGACTGGGAAGCAGCTCTCTGGAGGCAGCTGAGCCTGGCTGTGTGCAGGGAAGGAAAGTGATTGCTTCCCTTTTCTTGGCACTTGTTAGACTCCGTCTGGAATATTATCACCTGATTTCCACCACCCACCCACCCCCACATGAAAGATGTTGATAACAGAGGGGACACAGGAGAGGGACAAATGGATGGCCAGGGGCTGGGACATCTGACCACAAGGAGATACTGAGGGAGATGAGCTTCATCACCCTTTCATGTCCTGGAGAAGATGAAACCAAGCTCTTATGGAGGTGGGTGCTAGGAGGAAGGGACATCACTAGAATAAATGGAAAGAGAGGAGGTTCTGACTGGATAGGCCAAACTATTCCCCCTGGAATGCAGTGGTAGGATCTCTCTGTTCAGAGAATTTCAAGCAGTGGCTGAACAAAGTCCTGTACAACATGGTCTGAATTCAGTATCGACCCTGCTGTGAGCAGGATGTTGGAATGGACCTCCCAAGGTCCATCCATCCCAAACATCCCTGTGATTTGTCTCCTGTGGCTGAATTTGGTTTGCCCAAGAGAAGGTTTATCAAAGCTCACTCCACCTATGCTTTTCTAACCTAACAATTCCCTGCAGTGGTCCTCCCAGCAGCTGTAACTGGTGTAACACTGTAACACAGGTGTCCCACTGGGAGCATCCCATGGCTCTGTGGGAGGACCTCGCACAGCTGCTGGGCTGGACAAGCTCCATCCCACCTCTGCCCAAAGCTGCTCATGTCTGTTTGCTCTCATTTTGGCTATCTCCGGGGACAGAGATCCCTCAACCTCCCTGGGCATCTGTCTCCTCTGCCCACTCTTGCATTCAAAAAACCATTTTCTTATGTTTAAGTGAAATTTCTCTTCTTTTTTTTTACTTCACCTTCTGCCTCTCACCTTGCCCCTGGTCTGAGAAGGTTCTGGCACTGTCTTCTGCACTCCCCTCCCCACCAGGAATCTGCACACATGGGCAGGGTCTCCCTGAGCCTTCTCCAAAGTGGGCAGTTCCAGCTCTCAGCCTCTCCCCATCTGCCAGATGCTCCAAGCCCTTAATCACCTCGGAGGCATCTCTGTGCCTCTCAGTGGGTGTTGAGAACATCTCACACGGCTCTGTATGTGCTTGGACAAACAGCTGATGCTGCACAGATTGGCTGATCTGGAGCTCAGCTTTCTCAGGGCAATTGGCATCTCCTTTGTCAATCTTCTACTGAATTACAATTTGGTAACTGAGTTTGGAAATGGGAAGAGGAAAAAAAACCCCTCCAACACCTCAGCCTGTGCCATCCCCTCCCCTGTGCGTCCTCATCGTCAAAGGGGATGTTTTTCTGTTACTTGTCTCTTACCCCATGGACTTTTAAAAGCTTTTTTTTTTAACCCCAAAGCATTTTGCAGACAGATTTACCTGCAAACTTAAGAGGAATACACATAAACCAGAGTTTAAATATATACTTTTTTTATTTCTTGTGATTTTTCTTTATATTAGATTTTTTTTTCAGTCAAGAGACAGCATTACAACCTACCAACCAACACCAGTTACACACACACAGGCACACTACACAACAGATCCCAGGCAGTCGTGTCCTTCAGACTGTCAACACACAGCAAATGTTTGCACAATGTCCTACGAAGAGGAGACACCTTGTCCCTGCCAACCCTCCTACACCCACTGAACACAGAACACACGAACAGACAGATTTTTGTCAGCTTTGCCTTTCAGATGAGGTTTCAGTCCTACAGCATAGGTGA